GTTTGAAATGTAATTGGGAGAATCTTTAGTTGCAGTTTGGATTGGGCAGAGAGGGTAAGAAGCGGAACTGTAATGGGGAAAAATTTTGGTTATACCTTGCATTGACTCTGTCAGCCCCCTCCCTTGGTGCTGACACATGCTTACTATAAAACTGATCCAATGGTCTCATAGAGTTGATGTTTGTGGTTTCTTTGAATAAACATAGAAACTGATCCTTGCAGTCTTAAAACCTGAGAAAGTTATATTTGCCTTATCTGAGTTCCTTTCTAGGGAAACCAACCACTGGGGCTCCCAGATAGTAGCAATGAGCTGACACTCACCAGATCACTTATTATAAACAATAAGACATCAGCCTCTTCACCTGCTATGACGGCCTAACCAACCTCTTGTTTCCTGTTGTCCAACTCCTTTTCCTTACTCCTCCCGACTTTCTGTTTTCCCACACATGGTTACCTGGCTTCCCTGCTATATAAACCCCTTAATTTTAGTCAGTCAGAGGGATAGATTTGAGACTGATCTCCCATCTCCTTGGATGCAGCACCTGACTAAACTCTTCTTCCTTGGCAATACGCTCTCTCAGTGATTGGCTTTCTGTGAGGCGAGCAGAAGGACCTAGATGGATCCCCTGGTGTTTCGGTAACAAAACTGTTGCACATCTTTAATCTCAAGAACACTGAAACAGAAGTGTTCTGAATGCAACTGGAGAGCCAGGATTTGAGTTCAGGAGAGGGGCCAGGGCTGGGGATGCAGTCTTGGGAAGGAGGTGATAAGTTGTGAGAGTGGGTGTCATTGCAAAGGAAGGTGGTGTGGAAAGAAACATACAGAAGAGGATATGAAACCTTCAGGAAAGGCTCAGATTGAAGAGCAAGAAATAAAACATTGGCAAGGAATCCAGGTAGTGCAGAAAATTCAGAATGGGGCTTGAGAAGGTGGAAAAACTTCACAGGGGAGGTTAGGGTGATAAGAGAGGCACAGAGAGGACATCAAAGCCTGTGGCAGGTAGAGATTGTAAGCTCATGTCTGCCCTTGGCCCACATGAGGACATCCCACATGTTTGCCATTGGTGGATGATAAGATGAGGAAGACTTACAGGAGAAAGGCCAAGAAGGGCAGGTAGGGGCAGCGTGGGGAATTGTGGAGGGTAATGTCAGATGAAGTGACATTGACTTCCAAACTTCATTCATTATTCACTCATTTAAATATTTCTGCTATTCACTTTTTTTAAAAGAAAAGTTTTGAAAACATTTTAACACAGAGCAATACACCAAATAATATAAAATGCCCACTCTTTATAACTTATAAGTGTTAGCATTTTGTTCATATAATGTTCATATGAACCTTATAGATAAAATGGTACCCTTCCAAATACCACCCCCCCCACCTTCTCACCAAAAGCTAAATTTGGAGTTTTGTTCATTATGACAGAAAGATGGTAAGTGTTTTAATTTTTAATGTTTTTACCTTTCCTATAGAGCTGAGAGAGAAGGATGCCAAATTTTCAATGAGTATAGATTTATCTATTTCTCCTTTTAATTCGGTCTGTATTTTGTCTCCTATATTTTGAAGCTTTGTTATTAGGTGTATACACATTTAGAATTGTTGTGTCTTCTGGATGAATCGACTCTTTTATCCTTATGAAATGTCCATCTTTACCTCTGGTAATACTATGTTTTGAAGTCTACCTTTTATTCATAAGCAACACAGCTTTCTCTTTTTTTTTTTTTTTTTTTTTGAGATGGAGTTTCACTCTTGTTGCTCAGGCTGGAGTGCAATGGCACGATCTCGGCTCATTACAACCTTCACCTCCCAGGTTCAAGCAATTCTCCTGCCTCAGCCCCCAGAGTAGCTGGGATTACAGGCATGCACCACCACGCTTGGCTAATTTTGTATTTTTAGTAGAGACGGCATTTCTCCTTGCTGGTCAGGCTGGTCTCAAACTCCCAACCTCAAGTGATCCACCTGCCTCGGCCTTCCAAAGTGCTGGGATTATACGCATGAAGCACTGCACCCAGCCTGCATAATGTATCTTTTTCTATCCATTTACTTTCAACTTTCCCTTCTCTGTTTTGAAATTTTTACTACATAGGTATACGTGTATATGTGTATATATATAAAAATGCTATATAATTTTATTTTCTGAGATTTTCAAAATACAGATATGTCATCATATTGTGTGTCTTTGAGCTACGTTGATACATATAGATTTATTTTAAATACTGTGTGGTGTATTATCTTGTGAATGTGCCACAGTTTTATGTTCAGTGGTTCTTGAACCAGAGTGTTCATCTCTCTGGAAGTACATGGAAGCTGTCCTTGGGGATACACATAATTTTAAGGAAATTGTTTTCCAGATTCTCAACTCCCATTGGTTCTCTCTTCATAAAATGGATCTGCCCAAGAACAAGTTCCTGTGTTTAGGCTTTGTGCTGGTTCTTCTTTCAGGCCTATTCGTTCATGATTGTTTTATTTTCCACTTTAAAACTGAAAGGCAAACTTCCCACCCTCCTGGTCTTTACTATGCCCCAGAGGTGGGTGCATAATCCTCTGGGCCACCAATAAAAAGACAAATCTAAACATTTTTCATGTAATTTCCATCCGTTAGAAATTGCTGGCCGGGCGTAGTGGCTCATTCCTGTAATCCCAGCACTTTGGGAGGCCGAGACGGGAGGATCACAAGGTCAGGAGATCGAGACCATCCTGGCTAACCTGGTGAAATCCCGTCTCTACTAAAAAATACAAAAAACTAGCCGGGCGAGGTGGCGGGCGCCTGTAGTCCCAGCTACTCGGGAGGCTGAGGCAGGAGAATGGCATAAACCCGGGAGGCGGAGCTTGCAGTGAGCTGAGATCCGGCCACTGCACTCCAGCCTGGGCGACGGAACGACACTCCGTCTCCAAAAAAAAAAAAAAAAAAAAAAAAAGAAATTGCCAAAGAATGCATTTCTCCTGAGAAGAGTCCCCAGTATTCGAGTAAAGAGTCATCTGGGGGCTGGGCGCCATGGCCCATGCTTGTAATCGCAGCACTTTGGGAGGCCGAGGTGGGCAGATCAGGAAGTCAGGAGATGAAGACCATCCAGGCTAACACAGTGAAACCCTGTCTCTACTAAATATACCAAAAATTAGCCGGGCATGGTGGCAGGCGCCTGTAGTCCCAGCTACTCGAGAGGCTGAGGCAGGAGAATGGCATGAACCTGGGAGGCTGAGCTTGCGGTGAGCCGAGATCGCCACTGCACTCCAGCTTGGGCGACAGAGCGAGATTCTGTCTCAAAAAAAAAAAAAAAGGAGGGGGTCATCTGGGAGGAATGCAGGAGGCAGAGTGCCTCACAGCAGACTTTGGGGCTTCATCACTCTACTCAGGTCTCTATCGTTGAGCTAGAATTCAGAGGTGAGACAGTCATTATAAGGATGCATAGTAACATGTTCATTAATAATTACAGAAGGAATCAGACTTCTTTTTTTTTTTTTAACAGAATGTAAGTCTGATTTGTTAATTGGTTTGACATTGAAGACCAGCTTCACCAATGAGGTTAACGGCAGTATTTTAATTTTCCTTGAATCCAATGAACTACATCTTTAGCTCTAAGGTTTTGATGAAAATCAAGTTTAGCGCTTAAGAAACAGCTGCGAAAAAGAAAAAAAAAGAAGAAAACAATTTTAACAAGTTTAAAATATATGATAAGATAAAAGCATTTTGACCAGGTGCAGTGGCTCATGCCTGTAATCCCAGCACTGTGGGAGGCCGAAGTGGGCAGATCACGAGGTCAGGAGTTTGAGACCAGCCTGGCCAACATGGTGAAACCTCGTCTCTACTAAAAATACAAAAAAACTTAGCTGGGCATGGTGGCAAGTGCCTGTAATCCCAGCTACTCAGGAGGTTGAGTTAGGAGAATTGCTTGAACCCAGGAGGTGGAAGTTGCAGTGAGCCGAGATCACACTACTGCACTCCAGCCTGGGTGATAGGGTGAGACTCCATCTCAAAAAAAAAAAAAAGAAAAGAAAAGAAAGAAAGAAAGAAAAAAAGACAAAAGCATTGTATCACAATATTGTTTGTATTGGAATTTGTCTTGAAATTACATTAAAATATTTCTAATACCCCAACACTTTCCAAGTTAATCAATTTCAACAATCAATTTTAAGTGAAAGAAGAATGGTGTCATTGATGGCTACTTGGTAGGCTTCAGTACAACCTAGTTTAGGGCTTCCAAAACCTGAGAAAGTGAATAAATCTAAAGATGGTAACAAACCCACGTGCAGGTCAATGGTTCCCAAGTCTTTGCCTTCAACAAAATTGGAAGAAGGCCTTCTAGATTTGGCAACTAACATGGGCTGAATTGTGTCCCCCCAAGTACATTTGTTGAAGTCTTATACTCTCGCATCTCAGAATATGACCTTATTTGGAGATAGGGTCCTTACAGAGGTAATAAAGTTTAAGTGAGGCCATTAGGATGGGTTCTAATCCAATATAACTGGTGTCCTTATAGAAAGGGGCAACCAGGACACACACACAGAGAACATCATCTGAAAACAAGGCAGAGATTGGGTGATGTTTCTACAAGCCAAGGAATGCCAAAGATTGCCAACAACTGACTAGAAGCTAGGTGAGTGGCATGGAACAAATTCCTTCTCTAGCTCTCAGAAGGAACACACCCAGCTGACACCTTGATCCTGGACTTCTAGCTTCTGGAAATGTGAGGCAATAAATTTCTCTTGTTGAAGCCACCTAGTTTGTGATACTTTGTTAAAACAGCCCTAGCAAACTAATACAGCAACTAATAGATCACTAAAATTAATTTTTGATGATAGATAACATTGTGTTTGTTGCCTCTTTCTTTCTCTCTCTCTCTCTCTTTCTTTCTTTCTTTTTCTTTTTTGGAGAGAGGGTCTTGCACTTTTGCCCAGGCTAGAGTCCAGCGGAGTCATTGCAGCCTCAACCTCCTGGGTTCAAGCAATCCTCCTACCTCAGCCTCCCAAGTAGCTGGGACTACAGCTGTGCACCATCATACCTGGCTACTTTTAGTAGAGATGGGGTTTCACCATATTGCCCAGGCTGGTCTTGAACTCCTGGACTCAAGGCATCCATCCATCCACCTTGGCTTCCCAAAATGCTGTGATTACAGACATGAGTCACTGCACCTGGCTCATGCTTTTGTCTTTTTGCAAAAAAAAAAAAAAAAAAAAAAAGGAAAAAGAAGATTTAGTGATTCTGCTGTAACAAAGCCAACTATGTATTTACGGAAACAAAATGTCTCAGTACTTGCACTGTACAACAAACAAAAACAAAACAAAATTAATGCTGAACTCTGTCTCATTCTAGCAATCAATAAGTCCTGTTATTTTATGGATTCATTAATTAATTGGACCCCAAAATTCATTTGTGCGGGAGTCCATTTCATTAAGAGCTGAATTTTCTCCCAAAATTATTTTTTTAAAAACTTTTTTTGAGATAATTGTAGATTGACATGCAGATACAAGAAAGAGTACAGAGAATTCCATACCCTTCACCCAGTTTCCCCTAACAAAGGTTATTTATTTATTTATTTATTTATTTATTTATTTATTTATTTTTAGAGACAGTCGTCTTCGTTGCCCAGGCTGGAGTACAATGGTGCAATCTTGGCTCACTGCAACCTCCGCCTCCTGGGTTCAAGTGAGTCTCCTGCCTCAGCCTCCTGAGTAGCTGGGAGTACAGGCACCCACCATCGTGCCTGGCTAATTTTTGTATTTTTAGTAGAGACGGGATCTCGCCATGTTAGCCAGGCTGGTCTCAAACTCTTGACCTCTAGTGATCTGCCTGCCTCAGCCTCCTAAAGTGCTGGGATTACAGGTGTGAGTCACCATGCCTGGCCAAAGGTTACTTTTAATATTCATTAATTTTGAAGACTTACAGTTTATTTATGCTATAAAGGACAATTGTGCACTATTAATACTCACAATGATGACATAATCTAAAACTTTTAATATTTAGAAACTTATGGTTGCAACAAATTAAAAATTCATCTCATGTGCTTCTTTGGAAGAGAAGTATGAAATATTGATCAATATAAGGTCCTTAAGCATATGCACCTGTTATATTAAACTTTTATGGAGGAAGTAGAATAGAATTCATAAGTTCATTTGTTTTTATTTTTTATTTTTTGGAGACAGAGTCTCACTCTGCCACCCAGGCTGGACTGCAGTGGCACAATCTCCACTCACTGCAACCTCCGCCTCCTTGGTTCAAGTGATTCCTGTGTCTCAGCCACCCGAGTAGCTGGGATTACAGGTGTGTACCACCACACCCGACTAAATTTTGTATTTTTAATTTTTGTATTTTTAGTAGAGACGGGATTTTACCCCGTTAGCCAGGTTGGTCATGAACTCCTGGCCTCAACTGATCTGCCTGCCTTGGCTTCCCAAAGTGCTGGGATTACAGGTGTGAACCATTGCACCTGGCCTAGAATTCATAAGTTTAAGGAGAAGAAGGAGTGATGAAAATTTCCAAAAGTCAAGAATTTTTTCTTATATTTTAAAAATGAGTGATGGTTGAAATAAAATGATATTTATGTGCTATTATAAATAATTTTAAAAAATAAGGTTTTATTTTAAAAATCAACATTTACTTTGGAAATGATATCCTTTATAGTGATGAAAAATGTTTGATGTCAAGTTAAAACTGAGTAAAGAAGTACATTCATTTTGTAACAGCATTTTTCACAGTAGCTAAAATGTGGTAGCAAACCAAGTGTTTATTACTGGATGAATAAACAAAATGTGAACTCAGGAATCTCTCTTCTGGGCTCATACGCAAAGGAAATGAAATCACCACCTCACCAAGGTATCTGTACTCCTATGTTTTTTGTAGCATTATTCATAATAACCAAGATATGGAGACAACCTGGACAACCATCAATGGATGAATGGTTAAAGAAATTGTGGTATGGATATATACAAAGGAATTCAGCCTTAAAACAGGAGGAGATCTCCACAAGATGGCGGCGGTGGGGGCCGAGGCGCGAGGAGGTGAGGCTGGAGCACGACCCCCTTGCCCTCCCCATTCCCAGCTTGGTGTGTGCCTTGCCTAGTTTCACTTGATACTCTTCAGGAATTATGTAGAAAAGAAAAGCTCACATGTAAATTGATTGGAATCACCAAAAGGAATCTAAATAATTATGAGGTGGAATACTTGTGTGACTACAAGGTAGTAAAGGATATGGAATATTATCTTGTAAAATGGAAAGGATGGCCAGATTCTACAAATACTTGGGAACCTTTGCAAAATCTGAAGTGCTCATTACTGCTTCAGCAGTTCTCTAATGACAAGCATAATTATTTATCTCAGGTAAAGAAAGGCAAAGCAATAACTCCGAAAGACAATAACAAAACTTTGAAACCTGCCATCACTGAGTACATTGTGAAGAAGACTAAACAAAGGATAGCTCTGCAGAGATGGCAAGATGAAATCAACAGAAGGAAGAATCATAAAGGAATGATATTTGTTGAAAATACTGCTGATTTAGAGGGCCCACCTTCAGACTTCTATTACATTAACAAATATAAACCAGCTCCTGGAATCAGCTTAGTCAATGAAGCTACCTTTGGCCATTCATGCACAGATTGTTTCTTTCAAAAATGTTGTCCTGCTGAAGCTGGAGTTCTTTTGGCTTATAATAAAAACCAACAAATTAAAATCCCACCTGGTACTCCCATCTACGAATGCAACTCAAGGTGTCAATGTGAACCTGACTGTCCCAATAGGATTGTACAAAAGGGCACACAGTATTCGCTCTGCATCTTTCAAACTAGCAATGGACATGGCAGGGGTATAAAGACCCTTGTGAAGATTAAAAGAATGAGTTTTGTCATGGAATATGTTGGAGAGGTAATCACAAGTGAAGAAGCTGAAAGACGGAGACAGTTCTATGACAACAAGGGACTCACATATCTCTTTGATCTGGACTATGAATCTAATGAATTCACAGTGGATGCAGCTTGATACGGCAATGTGTCTCATTTTGTGAATCACAGTTGTGACCCAAATCTTCAGGTGTTCAATGTTTTCATTGATAACCTCAATACTCGTCTTTCCCAAAGAGCACTGTTTTCCACGAGAACCATACATGCTGGAGAAGAGCTGACTTTTGATTATCAAATGAAAGGTTCTGGAGATATATCTTCAGATTCTATTGACCACAGCCCAGTCAAAAAGAGGGTCAGAAGAGTATGGAAATGTGGAGCTGTGACTTGCAGAAATTACCTCAACTGAACTTTTTCAGGAAATAGAGCTGATGATAATTATAATTTTTTTCCTAATGTTAACATTTTTAAAAATACATATTTGGGACTCTTATTATCAACATTGTATATGTTTCAAGACATTTGCCAAATGTATTACCGATGCCTCTGAAGAGAGGGTCACTGGGTCTCACAGACTGATTTGAAGTCTACATATTTATGGGGCTTAGAGACCAAACTAATGGAAGGCAGACTATTTACAGCTTAGCATAGGTGTACTTAAGTCTATGTGAACAGAGAAATGCCTCCCGTAGTGTTTGAAAGTGTTAAGCTGATAATGTAATTAACAATTGCTGAGAGATCAAGCATTCAGCTTGCCATACACCTCAAATTCGGAGAAACAGTTAATTTGGGCAAATCTACCAGTTCTGTTTTTGCTACTCTATTGTCATTCCTGTTAATACTCACTGTACTTGTATTTGAGACAAATAGGTGACACTGAATTTTAAAAAAATAATAAAAATAAAAAATAAAAAAGGAAGTGATCCTACCATTTGCCATAACCTAGACGGGCCTGGAGGATGTTATACTAAATGAAATAAGCCAGACACAGAAAAAAAATATTGCATGATCTTCCTTATATGTGGAATCTTTTATTTACCTATTTTATTTATTTTAGACGGAGTCTCACTCTACTGCCCAGGCTGGAGTGCAGTGGCGTAATTTTGGCTCACTGCAACCTCTGCCTCCTGGGTTCAAGTAATTCTCCCGCCTCAGCCTCCCGAGTAGCTGGGACTACAGGCACCCGCCACCACACCTGGCTAATGGTTGTATGTTTACTAGAGATGGGGTTTTGCCATTTTGGCTGGGCTAGTCTCGAACTCCTGATGTCAGATGATCCACCTGCCTCGACCTCCCAAAATGCTGAGATTACAGGTGTGAGCTACCACACCTGGCCTATGGAATCTTTGACAAGGGTCAAATATATAGAGAATAAAACAGTGGTTATCAAGATTGCAGTAGGAGAGAGGAAATGGATCTAAGGATACAAAGTGGCAAACATATAGGATGAACAAGTCAAATAAAGTACAACATGAAGACTATAGTTAATAATAGTGTATTATTTCAGGATTTTTGCTAGATGAGCACAGTTGCTTTTGCTACAGGAGGAAATAAACGGGTAACTAAGTGAGATGATGGATATATCAACTTGTTTCACTATAGTGTCCATTTTACTAAATATGTGTGTCTTATACCATTATGTTGTATAAACTTACATATACACAATAAGATTTATTTAAACAAACAAAATGTGGCATATACTTAGAGTGGAATATTATTCAGCCTTAAAAAGGAAGTCTGACACATGCCACAATACGGATGAATCTTGAGGATATTATGCTAAGTGAATTAAGCCAGTCACAAAAAAACAAGTACTGTATGATTCTATGTATCTGAGGTATTTATAGTAGTCAAAGTAATAGAGACAGAAAGTAGCACGGTGGTTGGGACAGGCTGGGGAGAGGGAGGAATGGGAGTTATTGTTTAACGGTTATAGAGTTTCAGTTTTTCTAGGTGAAAAGAGTTACCGAGAAGTATGGTGGTGAAGGTTGCACAACAATATGCATGTACTCAATACCACTGAACTGTACACTTAAAATGTTAAAATGGTAAGATTGTTATGTGTATTTTGCCACAATTAATTATTATTATTTTTAGAGACAGAGTCTAGCTCTGTCAACAGGGGCAATCCCCCCCACTCCTTGATTTTCCAAGGTTGAGTGTATTGGTGTGATAACAGCTCACTGCAGCCTCCAGCTCCTGAGCCTCCAACTCCTGGACTCAAGCAGTCCTCCTGCCTCAGCCTCCCAAAGTGCTGAGATTACAGGCATGAGCCACTGTTCCTTGCTAAATCTTTTTTTTTTTTTTCTAGACAGAGTCTCTCTCTGTCGCCCAGGCTGGAGTGCAGTGGTGCGATCTTGGCTCACTGCAACCTCCACCTCCTGGGCTTAAGCGATTTTCCTGCTTCAGCTTCATGAGTAGCTGGGATTACAGGCACGCACCACCATGCCTGGCTAATTTTTGTATTTGTAGTAGAGACAGAGTTTTGCCATGTTGGCCAGACTGGTCTTGAACTCCTGATCTCAAGTGATCCACCTGCCTATGTCTTCCTAAGTGTTGGGATTACAGGCATGAGCCACCACACCTGGCCTAATTTTTTTTTTTTTTTTTTTAATGAGTGAAGGAGTTCATAGTATTTCACACTTTGGGGTGATACAAGAACAGGAAAAAGGTTTAATGACAACTACCACTTTTATTTATTCATTCCTTTGTTGATGTACTTTTGGGCTATTTCTGGGTTTTGCTGTTATAAGCTAACCTACAATGGACATCCTTCTATACATTCCCTAGAGTCCAAGTACAAGATTTTCTCTAGGGTGTTTTCCTGGAAAAGGAATGACTGAGGAGTATGGCAATCTTGTGAGAAATGACCGATTTGAAAGATGTGCCCCATAGCTTTTGATACACTTTTCTCCAAAGTCATGGTTCCAGTCCACACTCACACCAGCTGTGGAGGAGTTTTCATTTACCCACGAGCTTTGTTATTCTTGGTTTTGTCAGTCTTTGTAATTCTGCCAATCTGATAAGGTGTGATGGTATCTCGTTGTTTAAAGTTGCACCTCTCTTATTGAGACTGAGCATCTGGGCCCATGTTTGCTGGCTATTCAGCTTTTCTCTTCTGCAGACTGCCCATTTGTCCACTGCTCTGTTAACGTAACTTCCATATACCAAGTACTCTCTGCCCTCCATAACTCACATCACTTAAACTACGAATTTTGTTGATGCTTACAGAACCTGATTTCCTTCCAACCAATTGTGCTCTCCTAATTCCAACAACCAAACGAGGCTTCAACTCTTCCTTTTGTTCAGAGGCCTCCTGAGTCCCGTCCTACTCACAGTAAAGGCTCTGCAAAAAAAAAAAAAAAAAATTATGGGGAAAAATACACTGCATCCAAAAAAGGCTCATTTCTTTCTTTCTCTCTCTTTTATGTGTATGTGACAATTTGCTATCTTAAAACAGTTTACCCAAAACAAACTTTGCAAAGCCAGTGGAAATTTTTCTTTTTGCATAAGATGGTTAATTCTTTTGAGTGCTGGCCTGGGATCCATGAAATAACCTCAACTCTACCATAAAGCTTTTCACTCCCACGTTATGTAAACGGTGACAACCTTGTTGGTTGCAAGCCCCCCGTGTGGCTTTCCGAGGGGATCTGAGTGGTGCAAGCTGGAGGATGCAGTGATGGAAACATTGCGAGAGGGAAGGCGACTGTTTCCACCCACTCATCCTCAGAGCATGAGGGTTAGGGGAAGGCTCTGACTCCTGTAGGGGGTGACCCATTTCTAGGACTACAGAAGGAGACGTGTGGACCTGGAGAGAGGAAGGAAAGACCACGGCAAGGAAAGTCAAGAAATGGGACAAGTCAAGGGCTCTCTCCTCCCTTTCTCCTTGTCCTTGGCCTGCAGCAACTCCTCTCTCTTCCTCTTTTTGTGGGGACAGACTGAAGAGGATTGCTTAGCTTGGTTTGTACCTTCCCAGTAGAGCAGGAAAAAGGAACAAGCTGCTCCCTCCACACCTCAGACGCTGAGGTCAACTGCCCTTTGGGGGGGGCACGTTGGCTCACACATGTAATCCCAGCACTTTGGGAGGCCATGACGGGAGCATTACTTGAGTCCAGGAGTTGGAGACCAACCTGGGCAACATAGTGAGGCCCCATCCTCCGCCTCGCACCACTCAAATTCCCTCGGAAAGTCACACTGGGCGCTTGTTGCCAGCAAGGTCGTCAGTTTGCAAAACATGGGAGTGAAAAGTTTTATGGTCGAGTGTAGGTTATTTCATGGATCCCAGGCCAGCACCCAAAAGCATTAACCATCTTGTGCAAAGAGAAAATTTTCCACTGTTTTTTTAAAGTTTCCATTTTGGGTAAACCGTTTCAAGACAACAAATTGGAGGGAGAGAGAAAGAGAGAAATGAGCCTTTTTAAGATGCAGTTTATTTTGCCCCATGATGTTTTGTTGTTGGTGGTGGTGGTTTTTTTGTTTGTTTTTGTCAGAGCCTTTACTGTGAGTAGGACAGGACTCAGGAGGCCTCTGAACAAAAAGAAGCGTTGAAGCTTCATCTGGTTGTTGGAATTAGGAGAGCACAATTGGTTGGAAGGAAATCAGGTTCTCTCAAAAAAAAAAAAAAAAAAAAAAAAAAGCCAGCGTGCTGGCACAGGTCTGTGGTCCAAGCTACTAGGGAGACTGAGGGGGGGGCGGGGATCGCCTAAGCCCGGAAGTCGAGGCTGTAGTGAGTCGTGATTGGAGCACTGCACTCCAGCCTGGGCGACACAGCAAGACCCTGTATCTTGAAACAAACAAGAAACAAAACAAAACAAAACAAACGACAACAACAAAAAACTCATTTGGGAATGTTTCTGCGCGTGCCCAGAAGCACAGCCATGCTATAGGATCTCCTCTGTGCCCCACAGTCAGCTTTTTACTTGGAGGGTAGAGAACGGTGCTTTCCCACGCTGCTGTGCAATGGAGAGAAGCTATGTGAAGCTGGCGTATGTGTGGGGTTTGCAGGCTTCGTCCGGTTTCATTGCCGGCTGCTGACCCGGCACCAATTCCTGTTCTGCAGGTCCCACCGCAGAGAGACACGCCAGCCATGAGGACAGATGACGGAACATGTGATGCCACGATGGGGGTGCCAGGATGCGGTGGGTGCGGTCGCGGACAGGCGCACGAGGAGCCCAGCGGAGCGCCACCCGGAGCAGGCGCATAGGAGGGCTGGGGAGGGCCACCAGGGCGACGAGAGCCGGTGAGCCTGAATCAGCCTAAAGGAGGCGGAGGAGGAGTGTTGTGGGCGCAGGGCCAGGGAGCTGGGGGAAGGGCGGGGGGCTAGCCCAGGCTGAAGGCAGGCAGGAGCAGGGCCGCGATGTCAGACCAGAAACAGCAGCACTGTGTTTGGGAACCTAGCAGCAACCGCACCAGTGGAGACAGGGTCGGCTGGAGAGGCGGTGGGGCCGGGTCCTAGCTAAGTAAGGCGCTGGACCTTGCAGCCCTTCCACCCTCAGCCGCTGGCTCTGGGCAAATCTCGGGGCCAGTCTTGGCGGGGCTGTAAAGCGTCCACCAGAGCCTGGATCCCTCCGCCACCTTGCCCATGAATTCATCTTTCTGTGCACAGCGAGGCCCTGAGGGAGACTGCCGACAAGTTTCTCACTGTTACCCCAGGGAACAGCGGCCCCTGAGGAGGTCAGGTCCTGGGCAGGGGCAGAGCTCAGCGCGCAGTACTGAGGCAGAAACGGGGTCCAGAGCTGGTGGGGTTAGGGGACAGCGAAGGCTCGCCTGAAGCTCCCTGGTGCGGGGAGGCCAGACGAGGGATCTAGAATCCGTAGCGAGACGAGCACTCAGAAAAGATCCGGCCCAGCGCATTTATTTTACGGAGGAAGAAAAACTGAGGCCCAGGGAGCGTGAGCACTCCAGATAACTAGGGACTAGCAGCAGGGACACTGCCCGTCACCCGCGTCCAGCAAAATCTGACGCCCCTTCGGCCCAGCAGGGGGCGGTGCTGTTTTAGTTTTGGCCTGGTTGGGGGTGAGCGGAGGAGGGAGCGACTTCGAATTCAGTCTGCATCTTACTGACCTCGAGCAAAAACTAAGCGGGTGCACGTTCCGGTCTTGCATCTGGAGGCCCAGCAGCCTCTATCTTCGCCCCAGTCCTTACAGCCTAGCCCCTGGCTGGGGCTCCAGCTCGCCGCCTTCTCACCCCCACCACCAGGAGCTACCTATCTTAGCACAGGCCCACTTAGATTACCACTAGGAAATTACCACTCGGGTGGGGCGGAGGTGCAGCGGGATTCGCAGTTTGCAAGGGATCAAAAGAGCGAGCGGCTAATTATGGCATTTCTAGCCCAAGACACTGCCCAGGGATATTGCGAGTAGGCGCCTTAACCTCCCAGCATCTCGCAGTATCTACCAGTTAGTGCTGTGAGCCTCCTGTGCAATGCATCCGTCTGTAGAAATGGCCAGAATGAGCCGGGCGTGGTGCGCAGTGGCTCACGCCTGTTATCCCAACACTTTGGGAGACCGAGGCGGGCGGATCACCTGAGGTCAGGAGTTCGAGACCAGCCTGGCCAACATGGCGAAATCCTGTCTCTACCACTAAAAAATAAAAAATAAATAAATAAAATAAATTAGCCGGGCGTGATGGCGCAAGCCTGTAGTCCCAGCTACTCGGGAGGCTGAGGCAGAAGAATCGTTTGAACCCTGGAGGCGGAGGTTGCAGCGAGCGGAGATCAAGCCACTGCGCTCCAGGCTGGGCGACAGAGCGAGACTCCCATCTCAAAAAAAAAAAAAAAGAAAGAAAGAAAGAAAAAAGAAATGGACAGAATGTCAAAGCTTTAATGGTGGGTAGAAGTCCCCGTACTTGAGAGTCTCGTTCTCCCAACTCTCCGTCTCTGTCAGAAAATGCGAAGGGACTGGAATGGAGATCCTGAGCAGTTCTGGGTGCCGAGGCCCCACCCGGGTCTGAGCTGGCTGCGTCTGCTGGTCCCCTTGTCGGGACGGCTGGGCAGTGATGCCGAGAGGCCGCGGGCGGGGATCCCTTCGCTGGCTCATTCGCATCCGCAGCCCCTCAAGAAGGCCGTGGGCCCGCGGGGAGGAGGAGGTGAGCACCCAGCAGGAAGGAGATGGGCTTGAAGGCTTAGGGCGTGCCCTGGGGCAGGTGGAGCGTCCGGCCTCTGATTTCCCGCGCAGGACACTGAGGTCACGGTGCAGAGAAGGGTCGGCGCAAGGATCTGACAGCCTTGCGCGCGCTGGGAGCGGGCGCTGTGGGGACAGGGAACGACTCGGAGCACGAAGGTGGGAAGGTGCGGGAGCCAAGGTCCCTCTGAGGTTCTTTTGACTTATTCGCCAATTTCATCTCTCTCTTGGTTTTAGTTTACCTGGAAGGTCCTCCCTACGTTGTCTCTGGGGGTGCTTGGAAGCAGAGCCCCTTAGTTGAAGCGTGTCCTGCTGTCAGCCAACACCAAGTCCTTAGGCCGAGCCCATTTCTCTCCTGGTGATGTGAATCCTCGTTTTTTTGTGGTGGTTGTTTACCGAAGTCCCGGGCTGATTAGACATAGCAATGGAAGCTGGGGGTGGCCTGGGCCGTGCATTGAATTTGTGACTTTAGCAAGTCCCTAAAATTCCTCTCTGCCTCACTTTTGCTGTCTTTTTTAGGTTAAAAGTATTTTGGAGAATAGAAAACAAAACAAAAATAATGGCTTATAGTGCCAATATGGAATTATAATCACTCCTAACGTTTTGGTATATTGTTTTGTATTTGCTTTGTTTTTATCTTATGCTTATGTATTTTTAATTTTTTTCCATCACTGTCATCATATTTCCTATTCAGGTCTTCAGCCTGCTTTAAAAATTTTCTAATCGTGAAGTTCCGTAAAAATTTTATTTCAGCCAATTTCTTTTATAACACGTTCTTCATGAATCTTATCTGATATCTGCATAATATTCCACTCATACTTTGCCCAATTAATTAGACATTTAGGTCGTGCGTACTTTTCAAATTATGATACAGTAATTTCTAAATAGTGTATAATTTCAATTTTTGTTTCTTAGTTATCGTAAGAGTTCTTAAAAGGTGATAACAAATTTTTAAGTGGATAGATTATTTTCCTCCTTCCTTGGTTTATAATTTTATTGCTCTGTGGTCTGAGAATGTGGCTGTCTTTACGCTTTTTGAAATTTAAGTTTTTGATTGATGGTTGATTTCATAAGTAAGTTTAGGCACAGTTTTGTATACTTGATTGGGCACAAACTTCTTTTATATTAGATCAAGCTTTGTAAAATGTATTACCTATATCTGCTATGTCTTTTTAAAATTTTTATCTACTAGATCTAATTTCTGAAAGAACTAAGTTTTTCAAATGTATTTGTGGATTTACTATTTCCTCTTTATATTTCTAACAGTTTGTACATTATATATTTTAAAGTGATGTTATGGAGTATAAAAACCACATAACTGTTAAAAAGTAATAAACAAAGATACATTTTGGCATATATATCTTTTTGTGAATTTGAATTATTTTCTTGGTTTGAATTTTTAGAAGGAAATGGCTGTAAAGGCAAGTTGGCCTTTCAAAGATTTGACAGATGTACACTGTTGGCCACATCAGAGTTCTTCTTTCACTAACTCTTGGTCAGCCCCAGGAATTAAAAAAAATTACACACACACACATACACGGACACGCATACACACACATATGCTTATAGTAAGTCTTCACTGTCATCTGTAGGTTCTGGGAAACTGCAACTTTAAGCTAAACAACATCTAGTAAAACCAATTTTTCAATCGACATTGTAAAAAAAAACCGCATTGAATGAAAAAATACTTTTTGAGGATCTGCTGTATGTTATTTTACTTAAAATAACAGTTTCCAGGAACCTATACATGATGTTAAGTGAGGACTTAGTATGTGTGGGTGGGTGTGTGTGTGTGTGTGTGTGTGTGTGTATGCATCAATATTATTTTGAGAAAAGCAAGAAGTGGGATAATTTTTGCTATTTCCTTAGATTTTTGTTGTGGTTGACGGTTTTTCTGTAGATCTGTAATCACTTGAATTTTCTTTGTTGTGTGTGGATTGTCTGTTCTTGTCCTTTTGTGCTTTTGTTTTCTGACTTTTAACTCAAGGAGGTTAATGTCTTTCAGCTCTTACACTGTAGGAATTACATTGCTATTTCTTCTACCACAAAACACCTTATTGAAAAAGAAAAACTCTGGTGCACCAAACCGATGTCTCAAATTCACCCTGACTGACCCTGCTCCCCCTAGATCTTAGCAGAAATTTCAGTATGGCAAACAAAGCAGATAGAGTTCCTGTGGGGCCTAAAGCTTACGCAATTTGGGAATCTTCTTTAACCATTTTTTTTTTTTTTGAGTGGTGAGATTTTAGCATATTTTGGCTGAAATATGGGAAAAAATAATGCCCAGTGAGATTACATGATATTCCTGGGATTGATGGATTCATGTCCCAATTTCCCTCTGAGAAAGAGAGTGGGGTGGTGAGAAAGGGAAGGTAGTACGGAGAGCTAGGACCCTTTGCCTTCTTTCAGGATGAGAAAAAAAAGGAATAGCCAAGCTTGCCATACACAAGTGGCCCCATCCATTTATAATATTCTTTCGGTATCCTTTTATTGTCTGTGAGATCCATAGTAATGATCTCTCTATTGTTTCTGATATTAGTAATTTTTGTCTTCTCTTTTTTTTTCTTGGTTAGGTTGACTAGAGTTTTACCAATTTTATTGATCTTTTCTAAGAAGGAGGTTTTGTTTTATTTTCTCATTGTTTCCTGTTTTCAATTTCATTGATTTCTCTAATTTTTATTATTTTTATTCTTCTGCTTGCTTTAGGCTTGTATTGCCCTTCCTTCTATTGTTTTCTAAGGTGGAATTTTAGATGATCAATTTTAGATCTCTTTTTAAAACATATGTATTTAATGCTATAAGTTTCCCTCGAAGTACTGCATTGCTGCATCCCATGAATTTTGAGAAGTTGCATTTTCATTTAGTTCAAAGTGTTTTAAAATTTCTCTTGAGATGTCTTCTTTGACCCATGTGTTATTTAGAAGCACTTTGTTTAATCTTCAAGTATTTGGAGACTTTTCGGCTCTCTTTTTGTTATTAATTTCTAGTTTAATTCTATTGTGGTCTGAGAGCATACTTTACATGATTTCTGTTCATTTCACTTTGTTAAAGAATGCTTTATGGGACAGAATGCAATCTCTTTTGGTAAATGTTCCATGTGAACTTGGAAGAATATGTATTTTGTTGTTGGATAGAGTATTCTATAAATGTCAATTAGCTCAAACTGGTTGAGAGTGCTGTTGAGGTCAATTAAATCATTACTGACTTCTTACCTGCTAGATTCAATTTATCAATTATTGAGAGAGAAGTATTGAAATATCCAACTATAATACTGACTTTGTGTATTTTTCCTTGCATACCTATCATTTTTTGTCTCAGGTATTTTGATGCTTTGTGATGCATGCATGTTGAGGATTGTTTTGTCTTCTTGGAGAATTGACCCCTTTAATATTACATAATGCCCTTCTTCATCCCTGATGATTTTCCTTGCTATAAAGTCTGCTTCATCTGAAATTAGCTCCTCCAGCTTTCTTTCCATAGTGCTAACATGGTATATCTTTTTCTATTCCTTATAACCCATCTGAGTCTTATATTTAAGGTGGGTTTCTTGTAGACAGCATATGGTTAGGCCTTGCTTTTTTGCTGCTCTGACAATCTCTGTCTTTTACTCGGTGTATTTAGACCATTCACATTGAAAATGATTATTGATACAGTTGGATTAATATCTACTATGTTTGTAACTGTTTTCTATTGGTTACAGTTGTTTCTTGTCTCTTTTTTCCCTTGTCCCATCCATTTTAATGACTATTTATCAATGTTTTCCCAGAGATTGCCTGAGCTCTCAACCAATATCATGTCTAGCTCTGTGTGCTGCAAAACATATTTCCTCATACCTCTGCATAATAAGGCAGGTGCGAAGGTGTTCGTGCAGCATTGCCTTTAAAGTGGGCTAACCCAGTCTTCATCAATGGGGCAACAGGAATTTAAATTATGGTTCACTGACCTACAGGAATACCAGGTGGCAGTTAAACGTAAGCCAATACATCTATATGTCCTGGAATATAGCAAATTCTGACACATATTGTTAAGTAAAAGAAGTGAGTTGCAGACCAATATATGTATTATAATTCTTTTAGGTAAAAATTGTGTGTGTGTGTGTGTGAATGTCTAAATGCACAGAAAAGTGTGTGTCTAAATGCACAGAAAAATCTCTAGGTTTATACAAATTGTGTTGATGGCAGGTTTGGGAAAGCAAAGAAATATTAATTATATTTTTTCTGACAAAACATATTCATGTATTCGTAAGCTTTAAACACACACACACACACACACACACACAAACTTGTTTAAGACCAGACTGGCCAACATGGTGAAACCCTATCTCTACAAAAATACAAAATTTAGCCAGGCATGATGGCAGTCTCCTGTAATGCCAGCTAATGGGGAGGCTGAGGTGGGAGAATTGCTTGAACCCGGGAAGGTGGAGGTTGCAGTGAGCTGAGATCACACCACTGCACTCCAGCCTGGGCAACAGAGTGAGACTCTGACTCAAAAAGAAAAAAAGGAAAGAAAGAAAGA